ACACTTATAGGTCACTCTATGTTCCTCCCTTTTTTGGAAATAAGTGTTGACTACAGCCATTTCCATAATCTTGGGAAAATCCACCACCATCTGGCCTTCTTGATTTCTTTCCTTGGCACCAAACCTACTCATCACTTGCTCATCTCCTCTGTTTCCTTCACCAACAGGTCCATTCAGGTCTGCTTTGACCATCACTCTCTCCTCCCTGAGAACACTCTCCATCACTTTATCCAGATCCTTCCAAAATTTCTCTTAACTTCTTCATATCACATCCAACCCGTGGAGCGTAACCACTGACAACAGCATCAGACCTACTACTTCTACCTTCAGACACATCATTCTATCCAACACTCTTTTCACCTCTACTACATTCTTTGCTAACGCTTCCTTCAAGACCACCCCCACTCCATTTCTCTTTCTATCCACACCATGGTAAGACAGTTTAAACCCTGCTCCAATGCCACGAGCCTTGCTGCCCTTCCACTTGCTCTCTTGGACACATAAAACATCTACCTTCCTTCTCTGCATCATGTCAGCCAGCTCTCTACCTTTGCCTGACATTGTCCCCACATTTAGAGTTGCCACCTTCAGCCTTACATTCTTTCCTTTCCTTTTCTCCCTCTGTCTCCTGACACGTTTCCCTCCTCATAGTCTTTGATTGTGAGCTTGAGCATTAAGAGCACTAAATCCGTTTTGGACCTCTGTGGTTCTTTAAGTCGGTAAACTCCCCGTTGGACAACACAAGGCCCTGAATTGAAAGAAGCTTTGTGCTGTGTCGATCGCTGTATTGTTCATCAGAACTCTCCTCATTATTGAGCTTTATTAAAAGCTCCTGTTAAACACATTTGGGAACCAAATGACCCTCTTTATTAAAGACAGATTAAGAAAGGACACGTTTTATAAACTTCTTTGCATTGCAGAGTTTCTTGGCTGGCGTACAGTATATCCAATTATTATTGTATATTGCATCTGCAAGGAGTTACAGAAAGCAACAATGTTTTATTTCACCCGTCAATATCACAATAAACATTGTATGTTACACAAAGATACATTCCTAAACGTTTAGATAGAAGAGCTGACAGATGTGATGATAAAACAATGTTGTAACAATGTTCATCATCACTGTTCACACCATGGAAGGCAGGTCATAATGTAACTACCTTTGAGTGTTTCATTTGTCTGTCTGTTAGAAAATTATCTCATGAATCAATTGACGGATTTAAATGAAACTCATAGAAGGTAATCATTAGATGAACATCTAGAACTGATGTTATTTTGGAGTCAAGACAATTGATGATGACTGCCACAGCTAATTAACCTTAGAAAACACAAAAGTGAATGTAACGCTGGTAATTTTACAGATAGTGAGTTACAGTCTGGTGTGGTAGTAGCTGAGAGTTATGCCCAACACATACTATGAGGCTGACAAGAACTGTAATGTTGGATTTTTTTTTTATTATTTGACGTTTTGAGGCTTAACCAAATTGGCTGTAACTGTCATTTTTCAACATTCAAAACTCTGGAGGTGGATAAGGATTCCTTCAAGGCCTTTATTAATGTATTTTCTGAAGGGGCAGCTGTGGCACGGGAAGCAATGCGGTCGTGTGCTGATTGTATAATTTGTGGTTGTCTTGAAGTGTGTGTTAGTGCCGAGCCACTTCAGATCTTCGTTCTCTCAGCAGGAATGGGCAGAAACAGAGCTAACAGAGAGTCAATATTGGATTCACATTCAAGCAAGGGAGAAAAATCAATTCAGATGAATTATGTCGGTCCTGCATGATTGTTTAATTGATATTTGGGCCATTGGACGGCGTAGTGTATGTCTGTAGGTTGTTATTCAGTTTTCGTTGTGTCCGCAGGACCAGGCTTGAGCAGCTGACAGCTGAGTGTTAGATCACTACAGCAGCCAGTCCCTGCTGCTTGCTCACTTTGTGATCTCCTTTTTTTTCACGACTGAATTATCTTTCATTTGTCTTTTCTTTTTTTTTTTTTAGCTGCATACACAGTTTCTTTGCCTCTGCGTTATGACTCATGAGCAAGAAAATCTATCCAAAACAAAACAGGGAGGGAGCGGGTGCAAAAGATTTTGTTGTGAAAGGTAAACTGACAGATGTAGATACAGAAGTCGGTGATACGGGAGGTAAACTGGTTACACACAACAGCTCATTTAACCCAAAGCATCCCACCTGCTGCTTCCCCTCGGGGGAGCCGTGCTCCAGCTGTCCAGTGATTGGTTTCTCACAGGCCGGGGGAAGAAACACTAACAGGCTCTATTTGTACTCCTGCTGGGAGTTTGCTGATGCTGGTGGTCAGTCTTTACACTGGACCATAAGACTAGACTAGCTGTGTTGCTCGTTCTTTTCTGGATTACTCTGTGGGTCATTTGATTTTTGGAAGCCATTGAGGATTATTGTGAAGTAACTGGTTTTCACATGGCTGCGTTATGCTCATTTTTGCTACTTGCTCGTTTTGCTCACGTTATAGTACTAAAATTAACGTAACTTGCAGAAATAACATGCCATGCATCAGCATTATCAGCTTTTTTGCCACCTGTGTAGAATTTTAACAAGCCAATATATTTTTAGATGGTATTACAGTCAATAATTTACCTATTAGGAATGCAGTTTTTTTAGCACACTGAAAACAAATAATCCATTTGAACTTGAAGATACAAACAGTATCAGTGAGGGCTAAAACCTGGTGTACAGTATGTCAAGATGATTTTTATTATAGTGCATTCTATAATGGTTCTAGGTGTGGTTGTTTTGTGTCTCTGTATATCCTTTTAATGGACTGGCATGGTGTCCAAGGTGTACCAAACTTCTTGCCTAATGACTGCTGGACAGCAGCTTCCAGAGACCCTGCACAGGATCAAGCTGGTTAAGAGGATGAATGGATAATAAGTTAATAAGGCAAGATAAGTTACTATGAAAAACATTTAACAAATATAACCAGAAGTTGTGATTTAAATGCAGACATGGACTTGATGTTTGCACTTAATAGTAAGAATTATTGCATCCTAAGTAAGACTCAAACCTAACATCTGCTCATTCTCTCCTGAGATCCTCAGCCACAGCTTTAACCCCAAAGGACCATCTACAAACCTGATCATCAGTGAGCGAGTTCTCTGATTGGCATAGACACCGCCATTTTGAGCCCTTTCTGAGCTGAGCCACCTCTGAATCTTATAACTGATTGTATAAAAATAATTTAACACTTCACCGGTCGGATGGAATGAGATCATGGACCAAATGCAGCCCACGGGCCGCCACTTTATGATCACCACACTGCATACAAATCAAGTGGTATCAGTTTACTTGTGATCAGCTTTGCCTTTTTGTGGCCATGGTTTGTGAAATTTCAGAGCTTTATATGAATTTTTTAAAGCTCACAGTTCCCCAAAGTCCACTGCTTCCTTTTCATCCCCTCAATTTAATTTTATTGAGCATTTATTTCCGATCTTCACATACAGCCCAGGTCACTCTGCAGGTATCGATAATCAGATGTGATTTATGACACAAACCCTCTGAGCCACTGGAAGTCGCAGACGTCATTTAGGGAGCGATAAGGATTGACGACAGCTATTTAACAAGCCGATAATAGTCTAAGCAGCTGTTAGTCATCTGTGACAGAACACATTGTTGTCAGTATGATTCACAATGGGTCCTTTAATGTAAAAGCTTGAAGGGCCAGAAAAGCTGAAGAGCAGCCATAATGACAATCACTGTTATTGACCGGTTAAACTTACAAAAATAGCACAGTCTGCTCCAAGAACAAACCTGAATAAATTGTGTATAAATATTGCACTGTCAATCTGCATTAGAAATTAGGTTGACCACCAGTGTGGAGGAAAGTCTTTCCTCAACAATGGAGCTTTTAATGATTAAATATCCCCAGCCATTTTAACAGGACAAAGGGATTGAAATTTTTAAAATGTGACTAAATCGTCTCATTTTGCAGATTGCGTCTCCCTGTGCTTCATTCGTTTTCATCTCCCAGCATTTACAGTCCTGCACGTGTAAACTCAGCATCAGTCACTTCAATTACCAGCATTCCTGAGGTAAAACCTGCTTACACTCCCACAGTATAAGAATTCAAGTCCACGCAGAAGCTGCCACTGTCTTTTCACATCTTCTGGCAGGTTTGAGAAGTCTGCCACACGGCTTATAGATGAGGCGCTGCCACGTTTTGAAGATGCAAAACTGCCTCTTTCTTTAATGCCTTTCAGCAAGGCAGGGGTTAAAAAAAAAAAAAGTGGGAGATCAGCATCTGACAGCCCAGTCACACTGAACCTATACAGCTGCTCTGCACCTTCATGCAAGCAGAGTGTGTTAGTCTGCAGGAGTCGTGATGCCCATCTCAATGAGATATGGGGAAACGGGAGGGGAACAGCAGAGGAGACGCAAGTGGCTGCTACAGTGCTTCGACGACTAGAACAATGAGGCTGTACTCGTGACTGCATGCTAGAAATATAAAGTTTCCATCATGAAAGGAGGATCAAGTGATTTTAACTTTATGCTCATGAGACTTCATATTTTACTAGTTGGCGGTTTGTTCCAAGTGTGAACATGACTATAAATGTGTAATTTTAGACTGATTAGTGAACCCAGTACATTTTACTTTTAAACCTCAGCTTTAGAGTTAGACCAAAGTCTACAGGTCAGACTTTTTTTTGGGGGGGGGAGGGGGGGATTAAAAAAAAAAAATAAAATAAAATAAAAAGCTTCGCCTATATTTGGTCCGCTCAATAGTCTGGAAATTATAGTATGGTACTTTGAACACCCTTCAGCTGTACAATTTAAGCTTTGAACCAACCGTAAATATTTCAACCTTAGCTTCAAGCCGCCACCTTCTCCCCCCACCCATCTTTAACCCTATTTAAATTTAAATTACTCCCCACATTTGGTTAATGAAGAACACTTTATAAACTCATTAGCACCAGCTTATTTTTATGCCACCAATTACTGAACAGAGAAAGTGTAGAAGAGTTTTGTTTTAGCTTCAACAAGCTTTATTATTAAAAAAAAAAGTCTTATTGGCTTTGAGTGGGTTCACAAAGATGTGGCTTTAGTCAGGATCACTTCACCGCTCGAGACCATTGACCTCTGGTTTGAGGGGACTTTCATTACCGCAGCTCTTCCTGCAAGTAAAAAAAATAAACAGTCAAGCAGCCTTTAACAGGTAAGCCGCAAAACCTTAGTCAGTTTGTCTCATTACTGAAAGGATAAAGTGGGCCAATTTAAAAATGTTAGTGTAATTCATTATCAGTTCAATTAATGTACAACTTGCTAACCAACTAGTCAATATTTCTGTTCATAGAATGTAGCTTCTTTAAAGTTTCTTTGCAGCAAGTATGATACTTGCACGTGCATGACCTTAGGGTCATCTCATACTCACGTTGTCTGTGGCATTGTTGCTCACAAGAGGTTGTGCTGCTTGGGTGACATACAGATGTGGTACAGTGGAAAAACACCTGGAGAGGAATAGAGTAAACATGTCATAATGCTACAGTGAATTTTAAATAGTCATTTAAAAAATAAATAAAAAGTCATATGTACCGTTTCTTTTTGAGGAGAAAGTGTTTCTGGAGCAACAAACGCAAACATTCTGCTGACGAAACGTTTGTAGTGAGTTGGGTACTCGAGACCAGAAGATTCATCCACAGGAACAATAGTAGTTTGGTATCTGTCATCATGGTAGGGACACCTGTAGCCACAAAGTTAAATATAAAAACCTAGACTTATGCAAGTTATGTTTAAAAAAAAAAAAAAAAAAAAAAAAAAGTTCATACCCATTAACAAGCAGGTCCCACTGTGGCCGTCCTTCAGGGTTTGGGGTAGATGTAGCCCAGCAGTGCTCCAGGTTCAGAATTATGTTTGGGTCAGACCTTTCCAAGAGACGCACGTCAACAAAAACTGGTTCTCGCAACACTTTGGTGATTGGGTAATCTGAAGAGCTGTAGAAGGAGCTGAATCCTGCCACCTCTGCAAGCAAGAGTACAGTTTGTCAAGTCAGAAAACAAACATGCTACACTTTTATCTATACCACTCCCACCTTCTACACATCCCTTTGCGTGACATTGTCCACTGCCGAGTCGGAGCTCAACTCTCAGAGGTCCTGCAGCTGCGACAGACAGTGGAGGAGGAACAGGATTCACCTCCAGCACCAGAGCCTCCACAGTGGTGCCAGAATATCTACACTGGAACAGCAGCCTGTTGGTACAAAACCCACCTTTATATAGACCGATGGGATTTGCATGCATCTCCAAAACCCATTAAAATGAGCAAACATTTTTTTTTTTTTAGTGCAAGAGGAAAGTAGTTTTGACTTTTCAAAACGTCTCCCATTATAGTGCTGAGGACCAACATTTAAACTTACTAGTTTGAAAATTACACCATTGCATATATAAAAAAAAAAAAAAAAAAAAAAAAAAAACACACACACTCAGGTCATCAGTTTAGTCTTCCTTGAAAGAACCAAGTGGTCCCCATAAAAAAAATAAAATACATCTATCTATCGAACAATCCTCAAGATGAACTCTTAACATTTTACTTTTGTTTCCATAAAGTTTAATGGCTTGTCATTTTGATTTGTGTATTCCACAGCTTTAGAGTAAACATGTAGCTTGTTTATGGCATAATGTGATAATGTCGCATCTTTCAAGGCTTTAGGCTTTAAAAGTCAGATTGAAGCCATTGAGACTAGTTCCATTACTACAAAAAAAAAAAAAAAAAAAAAAAAAAAAAAAAAAAAAAAAAAAAAAACTGCCCAATTCTAGTTTAGCCTCAAAACTAAAAATGAGAAGCTTGTGTGATGAAAGTGCCACTTTAAAAAAAAAAAGTAAATTTGCCATAAACTTACTCAAAATGACTGTCCCTGGTTATGGATCCACTTTGTGCAACTCCCACTTCATAAGAAGAAGACATGTGGTTCTCATAGACAACGTAGTCTTCTTCATCCTGAGTCAATTGAAAAAAAATAAAAATAAAAAGCCATCAAATCAGAAAAGATTACTACACATTCTTCATGTAATCAGTTTCACTTTAACTGGCAGACTTAAATACTTTAGGATTTGTTGTGCAGAAAATCCTTCAAGGGGTCATTTGAGCTCCAACATTAAAGATTAAAGCACCTCCCACCTTAAGAGTAGTACCACAAGCCGTCACAGGGAACTGGAATATCACAAAGGCTGAGGTGCCGTCGACTGGGCTGCAGACCGCGTCGCTCGGTTCAAGCAAGCTGATTGAATTTACATCAATGGGCGGCAGAGTGACATCTCTGGCCACAACCACCACAAACTGACCGTCCCTGGTACACTGCACAGTCACTGAGGGGAAGAAAATTAAAATAAAGTTACAGCTGCTGACATTTACCACTTGAAATAAGCTTTTTAAATAAAACCATACCAGCTTTCCCATAGTAGCACCGACGTCCATCAAAACAGCAGCTAATGGCTTCACACTGTTCAGCTGTGATTTCTAGGCTCCCACAGTGGATCTTCTCTTCCTCCTGCACATGACATTTATCCAAAGGAGCTGCAGGTGGATGCACCTTAGACAGTTGCTGGGGATGCTGAAACACAGAAAGCTGGGGGGGCTGATATGGAGAAAGCTGGGGTTTCTGCACCGGAGGCTGCATCCAATAATTCTGTGCAGAGGTGCCACAGATCAGGCCGACAATAACAAACAGCCACTTGAAAAGCTCCATCATGGTGTTGAGGACTACGCTCAAGCCTGCAGATATCTCACACACTCCTCTGGCACAGCATTTATACATGCAACGAGCTCCTCCTCTCATGATCAGAAGTCAATTGTGTGGCAGGTCTGCAGAGTTAATCAGCTGGGCTTGGACAGGTGCAGCTCATTGTCTGAGAAAACGTCTCCACATCACTGCCGAGTGAAAGCTTAGCCGATTGTAAACGAGATTAAAGATGAGCATGAGGAAAGTATTTGAGTTATTTCAGTTCAGTTATAAAAAAGTAAAGTATTTCAGTTGTATTTGTCTGACACCTGCGTCTGTTTGAGCCTGACTTTAAACCTCCGAGTGTTTACACAAGCCAGATGTCTCTGCGTGATGCCAGCTTTTAAACAGAAACCCTGATGAATCATGCGGCCTCTTATTCCTGTCATCTTCACAAAGGCTTTCTCTTTGTGCACGCAGATGTATGGGCGCTACACCCAGGAGCTGGGTGTGTATGCCAAGGAAGAGGCAGCCCGCCTACGGGATGGAGGGGTGCGAGATGGACTGCGGAGGAACACCAGCGTTAGGAGTCGAGCTGCGGACCTGCTGGAGTACGAGAAGGATCCCTGTGCAAAGTGTCAGAGTAAGTGTCGATCAGTGAGTGAGCCTGGTGTGTCCTGGAGGTCAGCGCTCCAGCAGACACCAAGCCTGTGCTCAAACATGGACTCCTCAGAGCACAGCAGAGCAGCTACCTGCACAGGAGACGCTGTGAACAAGATTAAATGTGACTGACGTGAGCAGCAGCCTCCAGTGAACAAGGGCCGCCTCGGCGTCTGCACCCTCTGCTGGCTGCCAGGGTGTTGGTTAGTGCGTGCGTGTTTTGCTCTGCGTGTGTATTTTCACTCGTGCGAGCTGAACTCTGATCTGAACTGTCAGATTATTTTTACGTCTCGTCTTCCCAGATGACTGCGGATAAGGGAGTGGCACCACAAGAGAGCTCCACTTCAGACGGATGCTTCCAACAAGAAGAAAGTGACAGATTGGACGAGTGTGTGAAATAAAGATGCTGCTTCGAAAGGAGACGCATCACAGTTTTTATTTTTCATCAGTCAGCTCCACAACGCCTGTCTTGTCGGATAAGCCATTAGGCCAGAAGATAAAGGCTTGACCAAACACAGCCTGTTTCACATCTACAACAAGGCTGCACACAAACCAGCTTATCGGCAGAAAATAACATTTAATTATGTTTTCTTGTTTGCCTTTGACACAGAGGAACGTGTTTGTTTTTTGTGAGGGGAACAAATCTGGTTTGTCTGACACGTAAGGGCCACGTGTCCAAACTTTACAGAAGCAACTTGAAAAAATAGATTGCACTGTTATCTGAAAATTTTAAATAATGCACAAATTCAACTGGTGAAATTGTTTCAGAAATGTATTGTAAACATGAACATGTTTAATGTCAAACATTAATGCTCCAAACTGAAGAGAAGATAATGAGCTAAATTAAACTCCTAGCATTCCTTGAAGGGATGCTTATTACCCACTGCTTTTCATGCCAGTTTTAAATATAGATAGATAGATAGAAAGATAGATAGATAGATAGATAGATAGATAGATAGATAGATAGATAGA